ATAAAAACATCCACTGAACGTCCGAAGTGGTGTCCTCAAGAAATACCTCAGGATATTCAGTCGACGTCCTTAGGACGTTAAACGTCTATTCGTGTAGTTCAATTGGACGTTCTTACGATTCGGAGTGGACGTACATTGTACCTACATTGGACATACATGTGCTGTGTGGGCTATTGGCTCTGGGGGCACAATTGGAGCATTCCAAAACATCTTCAATTCCCCCATCAGTTGATCCTGAGAACAGTTTTGGGCGCACTGATGATTAGATTCCTCGAGACATTTGATTCTCTATGATTCTTTCGTTAATACCTCCTTCGACTATGACTTGGTGTCTTCCTCCATCTGCTACTGTTACCACCTGACTTCTCCCAGTTAACACAAATATCTCTGAGATGTCGCATTCATGGCAGTTGATGTCACAAAAGCGAATCACAATATCGCATCGCTGATATCTACAAGGAATTCCTTGTGTGACAGAAAGTTCGTGAATTTCATCACTTTCTGTTGGATCTGAGACCAATATGGATATAATGTTCATGAAGCCCCCTTGATTTACAAAGACTATAATTTGACAATCTGAAATTTCAGTAGTTGAGAGTCATAATTTGATGTATCCAATACGACAAACTGATTCACATTGTGCAGAATGACAAAACGAAACTATGCCTCAATTTGTGAATGTCTCTCACATCTCAAGAAAATTCATTTATGCAAGTAATATCCAACAATACTTGGAAATCTCAGTGTACTCACATACTCATGAATGTAGCGCACAATGTGACTTATGTTAAGATTCGTACACACTCGGTCGATGTCGGTCTGACTGATGTACACGTGTCTGTAAATTCTTTTTTCATCCTCATTCGAGATGTTTATTATCAGAAATCCAATCATGTGCTCCTTGTTCAAGTGATAAACATATTCTGTAAATAGAATTCGGAGTATTCTTCCTGAAAATTGAAGATACGTTTGTTTTGAAATATTGACCTGATCCTGAAGTTGTCAAGTTCATCAGGGAAAAGAGTGTTCAAAAGTGACACTACTTATAGAAACAATCATAAAAACTTACATAACTCGAAATATTATGTTTCCGCATACACTCATTAGATTGCAAAAGTAAAACAACTGAAAAAACATGATTTTCAACTAATTTCAACTGGATAATTGAGCCAATATAGCAGTATATTCCCTCTGAAGCATATAATTCAGATTTGAGAAAAATTACTTCGAATTTGATTCGGTTCAGACAATGAAGGTTTTTCGTATTTCCTGGAAAACTGACAATTCTGACTTGTGACACATTTGTCGCGAGGGTGCGATATTATCTTGACACAAATTGTATGGAGTGTCATTTCAGAATGTATCGACACTCATCGATACAATTGGTGTTTATGTATTCGAAAAATTGTAAAAATGTAATATGTATTCTGTTCCATCAACCTCAATCTCCTTTGTTGAATGAATGTCGTACATATCATTATTAATGAGAACATCAACTTATATCACATTTATACGAATGGAAATGAGATATATAGCACTATTTTGAGTTTGTGTCGAAAGACTTCTATGTTTTTTCTTCAGTCTTGTATCATTAGTTTCACCTACCATTCGAAAAGCGTCATTTTCTATGTCAAAGAATAAACGAATACAAAGTGGTTCAGAAATCAGAATTCTAAACCACCCCAGCAAACATCGAAAGGCGGTAGGAAGTCAAGCCCATGCCGAGAAGGGCGAGCAAATGTCGATGTCGGCATGCTACGAAAGGCTTTCCGTTCAATTTGACAGGATTGAAATGCCAACATCACTGCTTTCTGTCTACGTAGGCATTTCTTGCACGCGTGAGTTTCTATTTTGATCATTTTGCAATGGCAACAATCTCTCAACAGAGATTTCATCTAGTGCTGTGTTGTTCGGCTTTCTAATGGATTTTTACACAGAATGGAGTACTCAATACAGAGTAAGTAGGGAACAAACATATAAACAAACTTGCACTGAATATAATTGCCTGTTCCAGATGATGATATCACAAACAACAATGTACAAACATATGCAATAATATAGTTAGGACATGTTTGGCGGATACATGAATATGTAAACTTTGAAAATGTTCAAGTTTCATTCATATATGAATCATGAATATCTCTTTTGAACATAAATCAAAGAGTACCTACTTGAAGATATAGTTATATTTCTTGATTTATTATAGTTATGTGAAACTCTGCATGTTTTGGATCAGTAAATAATACATCATACAATCTTTCAGCGCAACATTTAGCTACGAATTCAATAACCAACATGATGAAGAAATCACACAATGGTCCAGACTATGATATAAGTTTCATTCTGATGTACAATATCTCACTTCCAGACAATGGCATGTTCTTTGTATCTGGTTGTACCTTGCACTGTAGGGCCAGATTCAGTTATGTGCCTTCATTTTTCGTCTTCACGTCCATAACCAGATACAGATCGCCCAAATTACCAAAAGATGATGCAGGCCCATCGTTTACAATCGCTGTTGACACTAGTGGATGGAGGTCAAGACATCGAATGAATATTCTTCCTAATCGTGTTTTACTTCGAACTACGTATATACCCAGCAAACATCACTTTCAGAGCAATAACTCCCTAGTGGACTTTCATAGTCTCAATATTGGCATTTTCCATCGGTAAATCGAAGAAGTTGCCCACTGGCCGACTCAACGCCAATATTGGCGGAGCTGTACTTCTAGGTATTGTTCAGTGGTTCATCTTCACACAGAAAATTTTGGGTTAACGTATGGAAGATATTCTTCACTGATGATCATAGTGATGATAATGCTGATTACAATTCTTGTATTCAGCTCTTCACCCACATCTGAAGGATCATCCAAGAGTTGATTACTATTGTGATTTCTGGAATATCTGCAATATGGCCAAAAGCTCAGGAATCATTCCAATCTGGTATATGATATGCACTATTTGTGAATCCCAAGTAACCTATAAATCACAACTGCATATTACCTAGCCTGCTGCATCAACAGTCAGGTGGAAACAAAGTCTCGAGTCTGAAGTAGAAGCAGATTGCTTTCAGGACTGAAACTTCATGGCAGAGGTACTATATAATATAATCACGATGAATATTCTTGTGAAGAAATATCAGTTCATGCAATTATTGAATTCGTTTTTTTGATTCGATGAGATTGGATAATGCATTTATACATCATTTTTTTAAATCACTTTCTCACTTCACATCTCACAATAACAAACGACGACTCATGCGCGAAGGATATAAGGAACAAAATGGAAGACCTAGTAAAAATACATCAATTGTCGATTGTCACTGGATTTCATCTGATAGGCTGGTGGTCCTGATGATCCTACCTAGATCCTTCATTCATCGTTTATCCAGTTCTGTTTCAGTGATGTTCGTTGAATAGACCAAACCTATTGATTCTTCAATATCATGATGATAGTGTTGTCTTTATCCATATGGAATATACAATCGTGCATTGTACATTGTGATCACCAAAAAATGATGTCAGCAGTATGTCATCGACCAAATCTATGGGCCATCCGATCGCCAGTTATGTCGTGTTTGCTGGATCCTTTTCAAGATCTTAGGACCTGACATGACCTCAGATGAGATAATGACATGCGATGAAGCCATGGAAGTATCAGCCGCAGAAGGGTGGTATCTATCTTGTTGTTGGCTCGTCACATACTGGAATGCTGTGAGTTATTGATTTCTGCAGTGATTGTATGTTTGTGTTTGAATATGTTCAGTGCAAGAGCTGCTTCAGGAGGTAGACAAAATGTTCGTCTGTTGAAGCAGAAATATTTGATGAAAGTGTTCATTCAAAGTTAGTAGAGCAAGGCCACGAAAAATATGTTTCATCAAAAGATACATCAAATCAAACCGGCGATTCTCGAAGTACAGCCTGAAAAATTGTGAAGAATATTCCGGAACCTAGCAGAGTACAGAAAGACAGTGGTACACCTGAATATGTTGATATATACAATGAAGATTGAATCCGTCGGAGAGTTTATCAGATGTATCAAGAGCAGAGAGTTCCTACATTATTATCGCTCCCAGCTGAGCTATCCGTGAATAATTTTGACATAAGCTGCTCTACTACAACCTTGTGGCGTACTACACGTCGTTTGGGGTTTTAATGTGGAAAAATATACAGAAGGCAAGTTATAATGAACTCACACAGCCTGCAAGAATATAGAATATGATATGAGACATGGTATGACACCCATTACACACAAAGTAGAGGATAGACTTCATCGCTTGGAGCTCACGAAAGGGAATCCCTATTATGTTCAATAAAGCTCCGTCCAATATAGATAGAAGAATAACAATTCTACCTGTGGGGTCAGAAGACGGCTAAGTACCAAACTGTTTATTTTGTGCAGCCAAAAACATTTCGAATTTCAGCTGAGATTACAACTGCAATACAATTGCTGAAGTTTATGAAAACTTTTTCCAGGAATTATTACCGAATGAACCACCAGAAAGCAGTATCGTGATGGATAATGCATGTTAACATATTCACCAGTTGAATAAAGTGCAGAGTTCCACCAGCAGAAAATAGGAAATACAAGACTTCTTGTCTGAACGTGACATATATCGTCATGGGTGTTCGATTGTTGAGTAATTGTTTTGAGGTTTCGATATATTACAATATCGAAAAAATAATTCAATTGCGATACTGAGTGATGATAAAATAAGTACTCAGTATTGGGGAACGAAATAGCGCATTCAAGTATAATACCAAAAAAAAATACTGCCTAGTTAACATGTAACGAATTACCAGGGTAGATAGCAAATCCGGTATCGAAGGCAATTGAAAAGAGGAGTTTCGAGAAGGGGGTCAGTGGTTGGTGATTGCCAGAATCGGTAGAATCCTCCTACTGTTATTGATCACTTGAGTGATAACACAAACATGCAATATGTTTCATGGAGCTCATTCTCAATAACCATTTCATTGAGTGAATTAAAATTCCATTCATGTCTCAGTGATTTCTTTATTTATTGAAATAATAGAGAGAGAATAATTACATTACGAAAGCTCAATGTTACTCATGAACTTGAAGAGAATATTTGGATGGCATGTCAAACAGTTCAGAATACAAGATATGGTGATCTGAGACGGCCCAGTAAAACTCCTTTCACACTTTCGTAATTTCTTGGATTAGAAGATACACTGGATGTTTCGTCTATATCGAAATATTTTATATCGTTCGTGTCAACTGCAGGCCAGTTGATATTCTGCGGGGTGGTAACATTCGCAGGTGTTGGATTTCTACAAATAAAAAGAAATGCGTATGTTAATGATGATTTGGTGACAGATATAGGCAAGGGACATGACAGTGAACACAAGAAGTGAAACAATCAATAATCCGAATTGATACTATTCTCGGAGTATATCTATTATAGAGGGTGTTTCAAGTAAAATGTGGCCACGTTGATATTTCAATAGGATCACTGCAAAATAAATTGAAATGTTCGTAACGGCATTCGTATTCTATGTGTATTCAATGTTATGTTAGCATGAACAATTCTGGTAGCTAGCACATCGCATAAATTCGTTTATATATTCCTCTGACCGTCATTGAGGACGCAAGTTACACGGTTGATACTTTCAAACATAACTTTTCTGAGGTGAGATCCCCTTGTCCAAATGTTATAAGAACATGAACCATCGAATTTCGCACCAGTAAAGTACTCCTAGTATATTTCGCTTCCGAAATAATTCCATTTGAGGATAATGGAAAAATAACTGATCAATGCTAGAATGGAGTATGAAATGAAAAAAAATATATTAAACGATGTGTATGCCTCAAAATCATGTTATTGACGCTCGTGAAATTTTATAATGTATGTAATTTTATAATGTATACCACTCTCGCCTAAGGTCATCCTCAATGTGTCGCCAAACGCCTGGAGAGGACGTTCTATTTTCTACAACCTAAGAACATCATCAGGCGTAAATTTAGCGCTGTAATTGTCCTAAATGAGTTCTTTCAGTGACAGCCTGAGGATGTAAAGAATTCCGTGCCTACGGACGTCTTTAGATGACATTCCATGAAATAACGTGTCATCGAAGACAAAAGGAAGAAAAAGAAGAACTAGAATTGAGGTTATGTCTCATGATAGTCATGATTTGTTCAAGATACATCATAATATATTAATGATTATATCAAAATTATTAGAGTATTCATTGAATACCTTCATCAAATTTCTATTTCACAAAATGATTGCGAGAAGAACTTATTGCACAGAATTAAAAGATAACAATAACAAAAGGATGATAATCTCTGTTGATGACATTTCTCTCAGGTAGCAAGAAACAATGGTGAGTAAATACTAAATAGAATCATTGATAGTACCGGACATAAAATATTGATACATTCATATACATTATTTATTGTTTCAGGAGGTTATTGAGAACACAAACTTGATGATATCATCATAGCAAACATGTTTTATTCCAAGATAGCTTTGCTTCTTCGGAATCTTTAAAATATTGTATGGAAGCTTGAACTTTCAGTATGAATTCAATAAAGGTAGGTACCTGAATCAAATCATTGATATAGTAGGTACTGGACATGAAATGTTAATAGGTTAATTATTTGTTTCAGATAAAGTTATTGACAACACAAGATTGATATGATGTCATCAGAGCAGAGATGTTTCATTCCAAGATATTTTGGCTTCTTCGAAATCTATGTGAGATTGCTTATGCATGTTTGCACTTTCAGTACCTATATCCAATAAAGGTAGGTACCTACCTAAATCAAATCATTGATATAGTAGGGACTGGAACATGAAATATTAATAGGTACATTATTTGTTTCAGGAGGTTATTGATAACACAAAATGATGATATCATCAGAGCAGAGATATTTTATTCCAAGATATTTTGACTTCTTTGGAAATTATGAAAGATTGTACATATGCAGACTTGTAAGTACTGGACATAAAATATTAATACATTGTTTGTTTCAGAAGGTTATGCAAAACACAAACCTGATGATATTTTCATTCCAAGATAGTTTTGCCTCTTCAGAATCTATTAAATATTGCATGAAGGCTTCAACTTCCAGTTGATTATTCTGCATCAGGAATGTCCAGAGTTCAGAAATCAAAAACAACATGGAGAAATATAACTATATCAGTAGGCAAAAACTCCTAGAAGTGCTCAACAAGAAGCTGAAATACATTTCTTTGAAAAGGAAATTGAAATTTTTCAGAATAAGTTATAAATAATAGAATGTAAGTTTATCATTTGGTTTTTCATTTGAACCTATTATAAATAGAGGGAAATTTTGCAAATATCATGAGATCCATATTATTTTGAAGAAATTATCATTTGCATAATACAAGGTGAGTCAATAGAGTGTTATCCTTATTGTATATTAGCCAAACCATCAGATAAATAGAGACAATTCAAGTACAACAGTGATAGGGTTTCATGAGAACTTTCACAATAAATTGTTTTCATATATATCTGTAGGGTGTTCAAATTCCAAGATATATTGACTGATGATTGTTTTTTTCCAAATGGGACACCCTGTATACTATTGCATTTTTAGGTTCTCCCTGAAGAGCTGATTCCATCAATGTATCACACTTGGGGTCTAGCAGGAATGATTACAGAGATATAGGGTGTTCAAAAACAAGATTTTTCAATTTTAGGATTTTTTTTGTGGAAACTATTCAATATTGGTCAAAACGGCTCACATATCCTTATAATCTTTCGATTTACTATCTACTGACATTCAATTGGAACAAATAGAGGGTGGGTTAAAATTCAGAATACTGATCAGCTTATTGTATCTGTTCCAAATAAATATCAGTAGATAGTTGATCAAAAGGTTATGACAGGAGCATGACAATGTGAGCTGTTTGACCATTAATGAATAGTTTCGACACACAAAATCCTACATTTGAAGAATCTCAATTGTCATTTGTCAACACCCTATATCTCTTTAATAATTCCCACTAGACACCAAGTGTGATGCATTGATGAAATCCACTCTTCAGGGAAAACTCAAAAATGCAATAATATACAAGGTGTTCCATTGAAAAAAACCAATCATCAACCGATATCTTGGAATTCGAACACCTTATAGATATGAAAACAACTTTAGGTGAGTGTTCTTATGAAATATCGGAGGAGAACACACTATAGTGACTTATTCTGTATACGAATAATATTCTCCCATAAATTTTGAACCTCCCTGAAACATCATCAAAAACCGCCTCAAGTTGTTACCATGATGTCCTGAGGTTGTCTCAAAAGATTTTATAGGGATGTTCTGAGACGTTATTAGTAGGTATGTAGAGAATGGTAACAGGAGGACGTCTTGAGAATGTCCTCAGGCTCGCTCTCGACGTCCTGAGGACATGATTGTGAACGCCTCAGAAGGGCCTCAAAAGGAATTTGTGCTATCTGGGTAGGTACATCGACTTTATTCTGTAAACCTCATTTGGCTCTTCAGGCAGTTTGACAGAAGTAGTAGGACTACAATATTGTATGATACATTCAAATACAGCAAAAATGTGATGATCACGTTACTTCCTTACCATATTCACTAATTTATGAATGATGTTTAATTTCATATCCATCTGAACCCCAACTATAGATCGGTATTTATTGAAAAATCAATAATAATAACAGTAAATAAATGTGAAAAGCTCACAGTCATTACCACCCAGTGTTCATAAAATGACCAACAATGGTAGATTTCAAAAGAAAAACAACTACTTCCCTGGCTAATGCCACGCAGGATATTGAATTACATCCTCCCGAAATCTATACATCGACTCGTTTAAACGAACACTGATACAAGTGATTATTTCCTGAATGCCCATTGATCTTGATCAAGCCAGGCCGCTAGACAACCACAGACCGGTTTCAAGCTCTTTGACTCTCATCAGTGCAGTGTAGTCTCCAGTCTGCAGTCCTTAGACCGCCGACTCAGCGAAGCCTAGCCGAACAAAAATCAAGTTGGCATTATATCCACCCCGAGGCGTCTTTCATCGATAAAATGTAAGTACCGCCATCTGAGCGGAACCGAGGAAGGAATCACTCCAAAACTGAAATTCCCATACGGGAGTGGCTAGCAGCCCGACTGGCGTGATATGAACTACGAAATAGTCACAATGCTCACAGTGGAATGAAATAGTAAATAAATGTGAAAAGCTCACAGTCATTTCCACCTAGTGTTCATAAAATGAACAACAATGGTAGATTTCCGGAGAAAAACAACTACTTCCCTGGCTAATGCCACGCAGGATATTGAATTACATCCTCCCGAAATCTATGCATGGACTCGTGTAAACGAATACTGATACAAGTGATTCTATTGTTTTTCTCCTGAAATCTACTATTGTTGTTCATATTATGAACACTGGGTGGAAATGACTGTGAGCTTTTTACATTTATTCACTATTTTATTTCACTGTGAGCATTGTGGCTATTTCGTAGTTCAATAATAACAGTGGTCTGATGCTGATTCCATCAATCGAACAGAGGATAACGAGTAAAAATTATCGAATTCCACCAAAGATATAAACCATCCAATTTGTTCGTATTGAAGGGACTCGTTTGAGCAACAAATATAATATCACGTCAATACTCGCAAGACAGAATTGAATATCACTTCAAGTAGCCTCTAGCTGATCCTCAACCGTTTAGTAGATAATTCATGCGATTTTCAGCAAGAAACTTGGAAATTCGTATTCGTTGAATCGAAGGAGATTTAGAACACCTACAGACAAAAAGTTTATGCGATGTGTCATCTCTCGATGAATATTCATACTAAATTCCATTGAAATATTGAAAGATGTTTCGATATATTTGTGGAAAATTGATATGATTTTGTTTTTCGAAGTACCTACTATTGAAGCAAGTCAACTTATTCTGCAGCAATCTACCTATCTTAGCAACAAAGCCACTTCTCCTGGAAACATCTTCTGTGATCTACACACTGCTGGAATATTTTTTCTGAAATTACTCACTTCTCCACGAGAAAATACATAAATAGGAATATTGGTATCACCGATTGTTCAAAGTTCGGAAACATCTGACAAGTCAATCGAAAAACTCAAGTTGATGCACACATGCGTCACAAATTCCTGGTGAATTTTTTATCATGAGACACTCCACACATCATTATGCCATATTCCATCGGAATATCTATTATGAATTGAGCAATACCAGGTTGAATAGGAATTCGCCGAACGAATAGACAATGAAGATAGTTTGGAGACACTTCTGTGTCGAACATATCGGGG